ATTGCTGTCTGGCCAAGTCTCTACTTCCATATTATCACCTGAAAATATAGGCATTCTATGCTCAAATTCACTCATTCGTTTCAAAAATATACTCCGATAGGCTACCACATCTTCTCTCTCATGTCCGTCTACATAAGCACCTTTTTTCACCCTTTCATATGTGTATCCAAGCTCTTTTAAATAATTTTTTGTGGTACTAAGAGAGATGGTTGGAGGAGGAACAAATTCTAGCCCTGGTAAAATGATCTCATTCATTTGTAACATGATCATATGTGGTGTAATATTCTACTTATTTTCTTGAACATACGATTTTATTTGAAGAAGAATATCTTCATCCCAGAGAAAGCTCCATGTTTTGGCATGGTGTCCTCGACGAGAGTAGGGAATCTGGCATGTCATAACATAATCATATGCCCAGAAACGAATGCATTTAGCATGGTATACCCCTTTTCCCGCAGCATCAGCAATTATTTTACTTGCTTTTATTTTTTGGTGATTGCTTTTTACAAGCTGGAGATAAAAACGGATGCTATTAAGACGCACCCAAACTTCACTTTTTACATTTTCTTTTTTGATATCGAATGTTAAGTTTTCAAGGACAGTTGAGATTTTTTTATTCCAATTATGGGGTTCAATCTCATCCTCCGACATTCCTCCAATATCATTCTCATCAACTTCTTCCAACCATCCTTTATTCGCCAACTGTTCATTATCAAATTCTTCTAACTGTCTTTCATTCTTTAACTGTTCATCAACATCATCATACAATTCTGCTTCACTAGTTTCTTCAGAAGATTTTTTTGGGGCCCAGAAAGTATGTAATGTAGGGGTTCCTTTCGCTAGCTTACGTTGTTGCTGTTTTTTTCTTCTTTTAGTGCGAACTGAGTTTCCTAAATAACATAGTCTATGGGTTTGGTTAGAATCACATTCCTGGTAATATTTATTTGCAGCATCTTGAACTTTTTTTACAATGTTTTCGGCATCATCATTCTCAATTAGCTCATTATGAGCAGGAAGGCCGTCATCACTATCATAATCTTCTAGCTCAACATTATCATTATTATAGCTATATTTTTTAGTTACTACTTGAAGCCTCTTCATGATGTTTGCAGCATCATTATTATCAACTACCTCGTCACAAGCAGAAAGACTGTCAATATCATCAGAACTTTCTGCTTCAAAATT